TTTTTTGAAGTAGGGTTCCTTCTGAATAATGCCCAGGAGTGGGATCAATTTTTTAATTATATAAAACAGAAAATATCTTCCTGTTCTACCTCTTTTAATCAAATAACATAGTACATTTTTAAAACTTTAAAAACATTGTAGGCATTGTTTGCAAACAAACCAACAGATGTGTGTTGAGAAGCTTACTCAGAGCCATGCCCTGTGGAAAATACAATTCTTTTTGTGAAGACAGCCTCTGTCTTCAAGGAGCTTACACTCTGATTTGGGGAAATATGATGAAATCACATAAAAAGTGACATAACAATCTGGTACTGGAATTTCAATTCAAGACAAACAACAAAAGGGGGGAGGGTATAGCTCAGTGGTAAAGTACATACATAGCATGCATAAGGTCCTCGGTTCAATCCCCAGTACCTCTATCAAGTAAATAAATAGATAAACCTAGTTACCTACCCCCACCAAAAAAATAAAATTAAAAGTGAAATAAATTATTTTTTAAAAAACAAACAACAAAAGAAATACAAAGTTGTACATGAGAACTCACTAAATGGACTTTGAAGAAAATGTCCAAAACTGTTAGAGCAAGGGGAAATCGCGCCTGAGCACAGCTGGCCAGAAGATGTTTGGGTGTGGATGGCTCGGGTGTGGGCTTTGGGGCCGCATGAAGACTGAGAAGGCACTCTGGAGGGGGAGTGGGCTGCACCAAAGCACCAGCACGGGGTGTTCCAGGGCATCCTGAACACGCTCCTGTCTAGTCACTGACGATCGCAAACATTTCCCGTACACACGTGTGTTAGCACGAGCAGTGCCAGATCTGGGTTTTGTGATGCCTGAAGCTTAAACAATTTTTTGTGCCCTCTGCAAGAAAAAGGAGCTCAAGTAATTAATATAAAATTAGATATGAAAGAGTGCATCTATTTCAGATAAGATAAGAAATAATAGCAAGTTTTTATTAGAGGCTTAGAGAGTCAGGACCTTCCTACCAAGATCTCTTTATGCTTACACAGTAATTCCCTGCTCCACGTAGGACACACATCATCTTCCAGTGCCTCCCAGGGCCTGGAGTCTCAGCCTTGTAAATCCCAGGTGAATTCGCCCCTGAGCACAAGCAAACCAGCACCCGAACTGGACTCAAGTTCCAGAGAACAGAAGCAGCCAGCAAGTCTGTGGAGCAGACCCTGGAGAAGGCCTTCATGCCCCACTGACCAGTGAAATGCAGGGGACAGTCACTCACTGATGTGACCAGGCACGTGAACACCTCCAACTCATGTGTGCGTTTATGCTGTGGGCATGAGCTCACACGAACCCCACCGGAGCCCCCCAGTGGGGCCACGTCTCATTTCTTTTGCAGGCACTTTGCGCCTTTGAGTAACGGCAACAAAGCTGGAGAGTTTCAGCTGGCCTGGCAGGTCGAACACGTGAATTCACTGAGCATTTCCAGGTATCAGTAGATCAGCACTGGTTCACAGATGCCAGGTTCCAGGTTCCCCAACCACACGTCAGGCTCTGCTGCTCTCAAAGTCTCACGTGCACTCTGTGAACTGGGTTCCAAACCTGCAGGAGGACCCTTTTGGACTCCCCAGCCATGGCTGAAAAGCTGCAGTTTCCACAGGTGTGCCCCTAGGTGCAGAGCAGAGCTGGGTAGGATGTAAGAGGAGACACTTAGCACCCTTCACTCACCACTGAAACTACAGTGTTCTAGACTGTCTGCTCCAGAAAGAACCTCAAAAGTCATTCCACTAAGTAGTTTGCAAATGTCTCATCACCTTTTCTCTAAAAGAACTTTCATCTAGAAAGCAAAAAAGCAGGGCAGAGGATTCCGTCCATATCACTCACATTCCTTATTCTTCTGAAGTACATTCAATTTGGCACCCAGTTTCCTCTCATCCTGGCAGCCAAGGAGTCCAGTGTCAATAGCAGGCAGTCACTGAAGCACCCTCCCCTTCCCCTCCGCCCTGTCCCTTGGGTCACAGGGGCCAGGGCTCTGCCCTTCATCTCTGCATCTACCATTGCTCCCTGCACGGGGAAGGCCACCCTCCACAACTTTCTTCTAGGTTCATTCATCATGACACATTTGACCACAGAGACCCACTCATGGCTATTCTCAGCGCCAAAGCACTGGCCTCTAAAAACACGCAGCAGCCAACCAATCACCAGTAGTGTGACTTCCACAGGTGAGGCATAGACCTCACTGGCCCCTGCCAGCCCCTCTCTCCCAGGAAGGACTGCTCTGAGCCCAGGGTCTCTCTCCTCTCCTCCCGTACAAACTACCTCCAAACAAAACTTAGGCTGGGGGAGAGTGATCCCCTCTGTGCATGAATTTTTTGTCCTGAATCTCAAAATGCTATTTACAAACCCCTAGGGCCAGGAGACCAGAATTCCAGATGATGAGAGAAAAACTCTCACCTCATTCTTTGGAATCTTTTATGACAGCCAGAAAGAAGCATGAATTAATAGAGCAGTTAATACATCAATGGATTACCCCACCGCACAAATGAAATCAAAAAAAGCAAGGCTTTTCTGGCTAAGGGAGTCGGTGTCCTATACCACATTGTCCGCCCCTGTGATCCCTGAGGGTCAGGCGTGTGAACATGACTAAGTGTTACCCACTCCATTCTCACTCACACTCTTCATCTGACACAGGAGAAACTGGAATGGCTTGCCCAAGGTCAGCCAGCTAGTCAGATGCTGAGGAAAGCACGGGGTCACTTCCAGCACTAACAAGATCTATCATTTGATGCCAGCTCCTGTACCCCAGCAGAAGCCCCTTTTCCCTCAGCAGTCACCACAGAGAAGAGCTCCCCCTTACCTTATAAGTGACTATTTAGGGGATTTTTTTTTGTCTGTTCAGAGTCTGAGCCTTTCAATTCTGAGCCTGCTGAATAATTGGAAATTAGAAGCTGAGTGAGACATGCTCTCTGCCCCAGCTCACCCCAGAGAAGTCAGACTGAAGGGTGTATGAGACACTCCAGGGGTCTGCCTAGCAGAACCTCTCTTTCATAAGCTGTCAGAAATGCCACCAAGGGCTAGAAGATGTTTATTTAGTTTGAAACATTGTTCCCAGAGGAGGAGAAAGAAACAGTATCAAGAGACCAATACAACCAAATGTTGACAGGATCTGTGGTGTCTGAAAAATCACTGGTGATATGCCTAGAATTCTTAATACAAATTCCAGAAAGTCTGAAACCATCTGGCTAACAGGTATGAATTTAAAAGAAAATAAATATTTTGTTCTGATAAAACTAAATCACAAGGAATTTTTACTGTGGTAAAAGAATATGAGTCAGGATGGTCCACGGTATGCCAAAGTAACAAATAAATCCTGAAATCTTACTAAGATTCATCTTAATCCTAAAGGTTTGATATAACAAACATTTATTTCTCATTCACAAAAAGTCAGCCACATGTCAGGAGGCCCTTCTCCATCTTGCAGCTATGTCCTATGGACACATGTTCTTCAACAAAAGAGAAGAGAGAGATGAAAAGGGCACGTGCATCTTAACTGCCTCCCCATGGCTCATCACTTCCACTCGGTCCATTGGAAAGAACCAGGCACATGGCCCCAGTGTAATTACCAAGGAAGCCAGCACGTGTAGGGAACATACAGATATTTGATGAGCACTAACTATGTCAGTCACAGCAAACTCCCAGCTTCTGTCCAAACATCTGATCTTTTGCCCAGAGCACTGAGTTTCCTAACCCCAAATATTCTACTCATTTCCCTTTTGGCCAGAGCTGCTATCAAACATGGACTACAACACATGTCCTGACAGCCTTGTCTCAGCCCAGGTTTCAGGAAAGCATAAGCCAAAGAGTCATCAAAGGAGAGTGTGATTTCTGCTTTCTTGGGGTCCCTCGTGGCAACAGCACATTCAAAAAGGTGAGTAAATCAGACTTATGATAGTTTGTTCATCCAACAAGTGTTAATGGAGCACTTACTTAGTGCCAGGCCTGGTGCTCCAGGCTGAAGATACAATGATGACTCAGACAGACATGGTTCCTGCTCTCAGAGAACACACAGTCCAGTGGGGGACCAATCCAACTGATTCAGGAAAAGGAAATGTGGGATGAAAGAATGGCCATGTCCCAGATCTCAGCTGAGTCCCTGGGCCCCGCCCAGCCAAGTATGGGTCCTTGGCTTTGGACAGGAAAGAATTCACGAGTGAGCCACTGCTGAGTAAATGTAGATTTATTCAGAGAGATACATGCTCCATAGACAGAGTGTGGGCTATCTTGGAAGGCGAGGGAGCGAAAGGCCATTGGGATGGGGGTGGGTGTTTAGTTTAAAGTAAAAGCAGATGCACACTCCATAGAGTGCAGTCTATCTCACTCAGAAGGGAGAGCGGCCAGGAGGTGCGGGGTTGTTAGTTTTTATGGGCTCGGTGACTTTATATGCTAACAAGTGGGAGTATTATTCCAACCACTTTGGGGAAGGGGTGGCAATTCCCAGGAATTGGGCCACGCCGCCCACTTTTTGACCTGTTATGGTCAGCCTAGGAACTGTCATGGCACCTGTGGGAGTGCCACTTACCATGCTAATATATTACATTAAGTGTATAATGAAGCTCAAGGTCTACTGGAAGTCAAATCTCCCGCATCTTGGGCCTCAAGTCCTACTGGGAGTTGAATCTTCCTCCATCTTGGTGTTAACTGCTGTGTCATTTCTTGAATGGCTGTGCCCTGTCCCCTTCCTTCCTGTCTCACAACTACTTCACAATCAACTATAAGCTGAAGTGTGTGCTATGAGGGAAGAGAATGGTAGGATATGGTAGGATATAAGAGGACCCAATCTCGCCGAGTGAGTCAGTGAAGATTCTTCTGAGGAAGCGATGCTTAAGCTAAGCTAAGAAGGATGCATAAGGGGAACCAAGGCAAAGGGTATAAGGTGAAGGAAAAGTGCTCCAACGGGAAGGCATGGCACGTGCTAAGGCCCCGAGGAGGGAGGGAACATGGAGTGTTTGAGGAGCTGCAAGTTGGCCAGGGTGGCTGAAGATCAGAGGGCAAGAGTGCCACTGGGTGCCACAACCCCAGGGCACACAGTCCATGTGGAAAACCATGTGTTGTATTTTTAAATGAGATTTTTGTTTCAAGATTGCTTCAGTGCAGAGTGGCTAGAATTTGGCCTTGGTCCTTTGGTCTGTGGATCCTTCTGGGCATTGGCACTACCTGATTCATGATCAGTCCCCCAGCTCCTATATGGCCTTCTCACCAAAGTTCACATCCCAGCCAAACCCTCAGCCACGCTTCCAAAGAAAACATGCAGGGAAAAGATCCAAACTTGCCGGGAAAAGAAGACTGTGCAGTTATAAAAAGTCTCCCTCCAAACCCTCCTACACTGCTGGTGGAATGTAAATTGGTGGAGCCACTATGGAGGACAGTATGGAGGTCCCTCAAAAAACTAAAAATAGACTTACCATATGATCCAACAATCCCACTCCTGGGTATGTATCTGAAGAAAACTATAATTTGAAAAGACACATGCACGCCAGTGTTCACAGCAGCACTATTTACAATAGCCAAGACCTGAAAACAACCTAAATGTCCATCAACAGGTGACTGGATAAAGAAGTTGTGGTGTATACAAACAATGGAATACTACTTGGCCATTAAAAAGAATAAAACAATGCCATTTGCAGCAACATGGAAGGACCTGGAGATTGTTATTCTAAGTGAAGCAAGACAGAAAGAGAAAGAAAAATACCATATGCTGTCACTTACATGTGGAATCTAAATCTTAAAAAAAACACAAATGAACTTATTTACAAAACAGAAACAGACTCAGACATAGAAAACAAACTTATGGTTACAGAGGGGAAAGAGGGTGGGAAGGGATAAACTGGGAGTTCGAGATTTGCAGATACTAACTACTATATATAAAATAGATAACAACAAGTTGATACTGTACAGCACAGGGAACTATATTCAATATCTTATAGTAACCTATAATAAAAAAGAATATGAAAAGGAATATATGTTTGTTCATGTATGACTGAAGCATTGTGCTGTACACCAGAAATTGAGAGAACATTGTAAACTGACCATACTTCAATAACAAATAACAAATAACAAACAAACAAATAAACAAACAAAAAATTGGAGTTAAATTTCTTTAAAAAGTCCCCCTTCATACCATCAAATGCCTCTGATGCCTCAAATTCCATAAACATCTCTTTAGTAAACAAACGATTAAAAGAAAAAAATTAGGGGTGAGCAGTTTCTCTGAGAAAGCCAAAATCAAGGGTGCTCCAATGGCCCAGAAGGCAAGAGGGCCTGAGTATAAACTAAGGAAGAACTGGGCTGGCTGAAGAGGACCCTGAACTTGGGAGTGCCACCCCCGGCTAGGGTCTTGTCACTAGGGGCACCTCACTCTCCAAGGGGTCCCAGAGGCCCTGGGTCTCCCTGCCCCCATCCAGACTTCGAGGCCTATGGCTCTAGAGATCTGTCCCCTGCCTAGATTTCTGCTTTCTCCCACCCTGCTGCCCCCATCTTTCCCAGATCCAACCACTTCAGACCTTTCCCAGTTCCTCACAGCTTCTCAAAGGCTCTTCCCTGGCCCAGAACACCTCTCCCTCCCCTCTTCCTCCTCTTCTTCCCAGCTCAGCCTGCTCCTCTCAGGAGACCTTCCCTGACCCTCAGACACCCTTTATTGTTATCACTTCTTCTGTATCCCAAAGCAGGGCCCACTGCTGTCTCCCCAGGCCCCAACACAGGGCCTGGCACATAGTAGGGCCTCAACCACTATTTCCTGAATGAATAAACAATCCAACTATAGAACCAGGATTTAAGTTTCTCAGAACCAGAAGTCTGTGTCTGATTTATCCAAGACTACATCCCCAGTGCCTAGAACAGATATTTCTGGAATGAATGAATAACCTTTTGAGCCAGAAAGGACAACTTAAATGCCTTCAATTTACAAGTGGAGAAATGGAGACCCAGAGAAACCAAAGACCTGCCCACGGTTCACAGCTCAAACAGCCGGGCTGGGTTCCTGGTGCCAGTAAGTGAAGTCATCTGTCACACTCTGCCCGTCCCTTTTTTCGAGGAAAACACAGGCAGGTATTGATCCTTTCCAAAAGCATCTTCCCAAAGTATTCATATATATGTGAGTGTATTTATTTGTTTATTCCCTGCCCTGCTCTGAAAAGAACTGGAGGCAGTCTGCTCACTGTAGCTCGTGTCAAGGCTGTATTTTCCAGACTCAAGAACAAAACAGGAGCAAAAACAACCTGTTCTAGGAGAGGACACAGCACCTCAAGCAGAGCCACTTCCCTTGGCCAGCGGAGAAAAGCTCCACCAGAGAGGGTTTTCTCTGTAATCAAATTACCAAAATTAGTGACTAAGAGGAACAGAGCAGATGTGGAAGATTTCAATTTTGCTGAAGGATTTGGCACCATGTCTCAAGGAACTGAATTTGCAAAATTCTTGCGTAAGAACAGTGTCACGTGGAAGAAGAATCTGGCTGCAGGACCAGAGATGGGGGCGATGCTGACAGCCAAACTCACCAAGTGATGTTGTGCGGTCATGGACACAAATGTTATCCTCTTTTTTATCTGCAAGGGGCAGCAGACGGCGCCCTGGGGAAGCTGCAGCCACAATGGCAACAATAAAACACTATTTCTATATCGCAGTGAACTTTCTAAAGCCCTTTCAGCTACACCATCTTATCTGATCCTCACCATGGAAAAGAGAGCCTCAAATGAGTTAAGCAATCTCCCAAGGTCCTGGAGCAAATGAGTGCCTGAAGCCCAGCTCTGAGGTCCACTGCTTCCTGCCCACGCCCACGGGTGCTATGTTTATAATAAGGCTTGAGCAGTGGCTCCTTGTGGGAAGGGCATTTAACTCTTTCAGGACGTGGGGGGCATCCTATTTTTTAATGCCCACGTGGCACTAACTGCTGCCCTGCCAGTCCACTAATAGGCATGTTTTCAGTGATCATTTCTTACAAGGGTCCAAGAGGACGCAAGGTAAGTGGGGAAGAGGGTACCATAGCTCATCTTTGAATCTAACCACAAATGCTTCTCTAAAGAGCCCGAGGTATTTCATAAGCAAGGTCCTTTCCGTTAGTCCCAGGAAATAGGCACAGTCACATCTCAAACCGAACTCTTGAGGTTCTCCCCCCAAAACCTGCCTACCAACCATTGTTCTTCTCCATGACAGATGCCACCACCCAATTTTATAAACCAGAAACCTCAAGTCATCCTGAACACCTCCCTCTTCCTCACCCCGCCAAGTCCAATCCATCGCCAAGTCCATCTGACCTCCTAACCAGCTACTCCCCATTTCCCCTCCTAACCAGCTACTCCCCATTTCCACCTACTTTGCCCCATCTTACTCCCTCCACCTCAGTCCGAGTGATCATCAAGTTTTGCCTGAAATGATTCTGACAGTTTCCTACTGCTGTCCTCATTCTTCCTCTTGCTCCCTCCAACCTACCCTCACACTGCAGCCAGAGCCAGCACCTGAAAATGCAAATTTGGACAAGTCACTCCCCCCACTTAAAATGTTTCCAGAGCTCCCACTGCACCCACAGGGATAACAGAGCCTGCACAGCCCCTGCCTGCCTTTCTGGCCTCTCCGTTGCCACCTTGCCCCTCCGTTGCC